GGAGGCAACCAATAGATGTTTCTCTCACACAATAATCTCTCTCTCTCTCAAAATCAATAGAAACATATGCTTGGGTGAGGATTTTTTTTAAAGGGCTACAATAGGAGGTATGTGTAAAGTGCTCTGGTGCAGGGAGGGAGAAAGTGGCAAGAGTTAAGGTTCATGAGGCAGACTAGCCCTAAGTTGTGAAGTAACTTGTTCTAGCATATCATTTCTGAGTTTTTATAACTCTGATTTACATGGTTTTTCCACTTCTCATATCATTTTATTAATACCTTTTAACTCATCTATATTTCTTATTGTTTCATCATTACGTCTTTCTGGTGTGCTTTTATTGTCCATATCACCAAACATTTTCCAACTGGGTAGTGACATAAGCATATCTGTTTTAGAAAGATCCTATTAGTAACAGGGTGAAAGATGGTCTGGAGGAACAACTGGCTATAAGCTAAACTACCAGTGAAAAGGGAAATGTAAAATGAAGACGGGGAAGAGAGAAACAGATGAGAAATTTAGAATTCTGAAGACCTGAACACCAATTGGAGTGGAGCAGGAGGCTGGGAAATGGGGAGGAAGGAGGAATGGATAGCTGCAAGGCTGAGTGACAGAGTCCTGTGATATGGCAGGGCAACTCAAGAAATATGAATCTAGCATTGGACAAAGTACAGACTACACTTACATTTCCTCTAATGCCTTCTCTTCTTCCACCCATCCTACATAAAGTCAACAGTTTAATGTTCTTTCCTCAAAAAACGTTAACAGAACTCCAGTGTGTGCAGAACCACAGCCTTCCACAAGTCCCTGATCTCTCTTCCCATTGACTTCTCCAAGATTCCCTAACAGAAACCTTCCCTACTGTCAATCTGATCACTCTCTGCCTCTGCCATTCCCTGGGGTTAGTTACTTCTAATACTAGTCCCACCATACCCATCCTGAGTCTGATTTTTTCTCATGCTTCAAATCCTGGCACATCTCTAAATTCTTCCTGACTGTCAGAAACCCATATAGCATTTCGGCACCAGCTCTGTAATATTACCTATTAAGCAGCTTTACCTTCTGAGCACAGCCTCCTCTAGGAAGCCCACCAGTCCCTCAGTCACCAAATCCCGGTGCTCCCACAGGATCCTGCACTTCCTCTATCACAGCAGTAGTCACATAGAATTATAATTATTTCTGGGAGAGCCATGGTTCAGTTTGTACATCATAGGACACCTCAAAATTCATCAGCTCCTTGTCTGGGCCCTTTTCCAGTGTTTCCTATCCCATTTAAGTAAGAAGAAATCTAAGACCCCAGCAGTGCTGACTCCTTCTTACAACCAAACTATCTCCAAGCCCTGTCGATCTCATCTCTTTAATAAACCATGAACCCCTGAACTTTTTTCTGTCATTACTCTATCTAATTCTAGTTGCTGTCCTCTATTTTGGCTCTAATTTGTTCTCCACATAGCAGCTAGAATCACTTTCCAAAACCTGATCATGCCAAGTTGTTCTTAAACATTTCAATACTAAAGCTCAACCCTTAATTCTCAAATCTTTCACATTAAAACCAAGCACTCCTATTACACACCCTCCCAGAACTGTGAACCTTTTCTTTCTGACATCACTACCGTAATTTTACCGTATCTGGATTCTTTTATTACTGTCTGCTTCTCTTCACTGTAAGCTCCATTAAGGCAGGAACTCTATTTCGGCAACGCCTAGCACAGCGCCTGGCACTCCGCGATTGTTCAACAAACATTTATTGAATGAATGGATGAATATAAGTCCTCTCTTCACGGTCCCAGTGACACTCCCCCACCTCCCTTTGCCCAGGGCCCTTCAATCGGCCCCGTGCCTAGAAAATCTGATTAAGTGAATGTAGTGCGGGAGAAAGGAAGGGGAAATGATGTGTCAGTGACCAGCATGGCCTTACAGGGAAGAGGCCTAACGCTGGGAGCTTCCGCTTCTGTCGACGAGCAGAGCCAACAGTTCCCGCTTGGACGCGAAAATGGCAGGGAAAGAGGCCGACCCCCGCCGGGTCAAGGTGTGGTCGGAGCTCACAACCCGCAAAGGTGTGGTCGGAGCTCACAACCCGCAAGGTGAGATCGCAGCTCACAAGTCGCTGCCCGGCTCCCACCCCCGCCCTCCCCGGGCTAGAAAACAGCCGCAGGCACACACGCGCGCGCGCGCGCTCCCGATTCAGGGTCACTCACAGGCGCAGCGGTTTCTGAGCCATGGGTCCCAAAAGCCGTGGTTGGGAACACCGCCGAAAATTAGGACGCCGCACCCGCACGCCGCCGACAAACGCGTCGCAGCCCAATAAGACGTAAGCGCATCCCAGCCAATGAAGGTTCACCCATCTACGGAGAGCGCCGAGAGACAAGCTTCTCGCAGGTGGACCCTCCTCCAGGAGGAATTAAGAAAAGGAGAAAGGGGGAATGGCAAGGAGGAATCTCGTTATGATTTTTTTATTTCAGGGCGATTGAAGTGATTGAGCTGCTAGAAAGTTCCCAGCACGATGTTGGGCCCCAATCTGTCCTAACCTAACCATATCACGCTAGTGAGCAAGAGGCTCCCTTCATACACGCGTTTCATAGGTTTTGAACCTACTGAAAAATTAAAAGAATTATGGCCATCGTCTTCAAGGTGCACAATCACTTTTATACCCACGGAGTCATGTGAGAGTAAACTGCAGACATCAAGAATACCTCTGCGGCCCTGGCCGGTTTGGCTCAGCGGTTAGAGCATCGGCCTGCGGTCTTGAGAGACCCGGGTTCGGTTCCCGCTAAGGGCATGTACCTCGGTTGCAGTTTGTCCCCGGCCCTGGTGGGTCGTGCGGGTGGCAGCCACTCGATGTGTCCCTTCACATCGATGTTTCTCTCTCTCTCTCTGTTCCTCTCTCTCCCTCCCACTCTACCTTAACAAAAAATGGAAAAATGTCCTCGGGTGAGGATAAAAAATAAAAATAAAAAAAAGAAAACCTCTGCGTGCATTTCCCAAGAATAAGGACCATCTTCCTACATAATACACCTAACCATGAACACACCTAAGAAAATTAATTCAGTAATATCACCTAACACATCCATAAAGTTCTCCGTTTGTCCCCCCAAATTTATTTTATACTTTTGTTTTCATTCAGGATCCAATCAAGTTTCACACTTGCATTCTATTTTGTCTTTAGTCTCTTTTAATCTACAATAGCCCACCTACCTTTTTGGTTTTGGTTTTCATGACATTGACTTTTGGGGGAGTTCAGGCCAGTTGGTAGGATATAGCAGTGTTTAAAGAAATGGAAATAATGGTGAGAATGTCTGACAACTGAGGGGTATGGAAAACTCATGAAGGACAGCCAAGCAACTCAACATTAACTAAAACTTAAAAAAGTTTAAAGAACAACAACAAAGTTTTGGTTTCCCTCTCAACTTCTGTAATGCTCTTTGGGGAAATATCAAGTTCCCTGCCTCATAAATATTGATGCCCCTGCTTTGCTGGAAAATTAAGCACGCTTTTCCACTTTAGGGTAATACAGCACATCCCAGGAGTGGTGATCAAGACTGAATCTCGAAGAAGAGTAGAGGTTTGCCAAACATGGACGGATAGTAATTTCAAGAAGAAACAACAGTAAGAAATGAAAACTCATCCATGGAATTCTGTATTATCTTCTAAACTTTTTGGCAAATCTAAAACTATTCTAAAGTACAAAGTTTATGAAAACTCATCCATTGGAATTAAGGTAGATCAAGATAGCTGAACACAATGTGTCAGAGTAACAAAAAATGATATTGAAATAAAGGGAAAAGCCCAGCAAATGTGGCTCAATGATTGAGTGTCGACCCATGCACCAAGAGGTTGCCCGTTCATTTCCCAGTCAGGGCACATGCCCAGGTTGTGGGCCTGATCCCCAGTGGGGGGCATGCAGGAGGTAGCCAATGGATGTTTTCTCTCATCTATGTTTCTCTCTCTCTCCCCCTCTCCCTTCCTCTCTCTAATAACAATAAAGAAAAAAATACAGGAGCCTTGTATGCATGCTGTCTGGTTTTAGAATACAAGAAGATAGAAACTATATCAAGTATCTTTTAAACCATAATGGTGTGAAACTAGAATTCAGTAACAAGAGAAAAACTAAAAAATTGATGAATGTGTCAAAATTAAATAACACACTCTTGAACAACCAATGGACCAAAAATGAAATAAAAAGGAAAATAAATAAAAAACCTTGAGACAAATGAAAATACATATACCAAAACTTATCAAGCAAAAGCAGTTCTAAGAGAAAAATTATAGCTATAAATGTCTAAATTAAGGAAAAATATCTCAAATAACCTAACATTACACCTCAAGGAACTAGAAAAAGCCTGAAGTTAGAAGAAGGCAGGGAATAATTAAGATTAGAGCAGAAAGAAATGAAATAGTCCAGAGGAGAAGAGGATAAACAGTGGTGGTCTGAACAGAGGTTGTGGGAAATGACAGAAACAAAGTTAAAAATTGTTTTAGAAATGGAATTGGGCAACTTCCTAGCTGCTAATACCCAATTCTGAATAAGGCTGCCTGTTTTCTAAACTAGACTGGTTAGTCAGTGTCTTCCACCCACGATGTCTTTAGTCTGGGAGGGAGATGATCAGGTCCCCAGGAGGCCCCTGACCCTGCAAACACAAGTAGGAAGATATTTTATAAAATACTTTATTTTATAAGTGGCAGCCCCACCTCCCCATCTCACACATACACACACACACACATCCTGTCTTTGTCTTTTTCACATCTCCCAAAGGGAGTACATGTCAAGATGTCATCCATCCCCAGACACCTGTGACTCACACAAAGAAGAGACAGGAAGGGCCCATCACATGTTACACCAAGCTGTCACAACACTCCTTGCACTGCTTCTGCTCAGTCTAGAAGACTCAGCCTGAAATTATTTTAAGATTTTCTATTATTTGCAGTGTTATAGAAAAGTAAATTACTGGCACTCACAAGATGATAAACTGTAAAGAAGTTTGTTTTGTTTTCCTTTTTAAATTTATTGTTATCAATACATTAGCTTCAATAGAAAAAAAACAAAAGACAAAAAACATTTACACGGTGACTCAAAATCCGGCCACTTAAGAAAATAGAGAAAATAAGCCCTCTCATTTGATTCAACTGAAAAGCCCAGGTTTATCCTGAACTTTGAGAGAGTCTGCATCCTAAGTGAATAATTAAGCATTCAAGTACAAGGTAAGGGGTTATAAGTGAGTTTCTGAGGGATACTGCCCCAAGAGAAATTCAGGAGTAGCCACAGTTCTCCAGTTCATTCCAAAGGTGGGATGTTGCTGGGACGGCCAGCATGGTTTCTTTTTGAGGAGTTTTGACAATTCATCAGCCTCAGGTCTCATCTTACACATTAAAAAATATTTTGTTCCACAGGAATAAGTTTTTCATCGCTTCTCCAGCTTCTTGTACTTGGCTTCTGCAAGGAGGGGAAGAAGCTGTATTTAAAACTGGCTCATATAAAGATACTTTTTCGTTAGCATTTCCTAGCAAGTTCAAAAGTGTCTATTACATTTTTAAAAAACGTATTAGCTTCAATTTCATCAGCTGTCCAAACTGTGTCCAAACTGTAGGCACACCATAAAAGTTAACTACCACATTAGCTAAAGACATATTTGGATATCCATTCAAATTTTATTGCTAGGCAGAGCTTAAAGTAAGAAGTCAAATACACACACATACAATAAAGAGACCAACACAAGTCCACTATGTTCTAACCCTGTCAACAGCACCTGCTCAGATGGCTCACCAGGAATAAGCAGAGCTACTAGCACTTAAGCCACCAGGAACATAGGAAATTGCCTCTCCAGGCATGGTGCCAGGCACTCTCTGGGAGCCAGACTGGAACTCTCAGGAAGTATAAATGTAAGTTTCACCTTTTATTTTCTTAACCCCAGAAAGCAATTTTGAAAGATACAAAGATTTAAAAGGCCATCATAAGGCTTTTTAATGGAATGAATTCTCTTTTTCTTTAAAACCTTAAAAGCACTTTGGTACAATGCCTTCTACATAGTAAGGTTTACAGTCACCATTCCAGTAAATTTAATTGTAGACAATGAATATTTAATCACCATCCACATCAAATCTCAGTCTGCTACAAACCACTCTCTTTAAGTAGTCAACAATCATCAATGATGAAAATAAAATAATCTGTAAATTATATCTAGGATAAAAACAACTTGGTTATTTTTAGTCATGGATATAAGAGCCAGAACCAGTTAGCAAGCCATCAACACTAAAAGTACAGTTTCCTCCTTAAAGAAAGAGTAATCCATCCAGAAAACCCTTGATTGACTATTCTGTTTTTTAAGACATATGTATCTACATTATTAAAGATGCTCCAGTGCTGGCCTGCTGAACCACAATTAAGAGCTTGAGCTTTGTGAACAATCAGACCTGGTTTGGAATACAGCTTTTCCACATTCAAGCTTTGTATATTTATGTAAGTTATTAACCTCTTCAACCACAGTTTCATCCTCTACAAAACAGGAATAAAAACATGTACTTATAGGGTGCTCATACAACTCAACAAAAGGAAGACAAAGAACCCAATTAAAAAATGGGCAGAGGAGCTAAATAGACACCTCTCCAAACAGGACATACAAATGGCTACAAGACATATGAAGAAATGCTCAACATCACTAATCATCAGAGAGATGCAAATTAAAACAACAGTGAGGTATCACCTCACACCTGTCAGAATGGCCGCCATCAACAAATCATCAAATAACAAGTGTTGGCGAGGGTGTGGAGAAAAGGGGACTCTAGTACACTGCTGGTGGGAATGCAGACTGGTGCAGCCACTATAGAAAACAATATGGTGTTACCTCAAAAAATTAAAAATTGAATTGCCATTTGACCCAGTGATCCCACTTCTAGGAATATACCCTATGAAGCCTGAAACACCAATCAGAAAGAATATATGTATCCCCATGTTTGTAGTAGCACTATTTATATTAGCTAAGATCTGGAAACAGCCCAAGTGTCCATCAGTAGACGAATGGATAAAAAAAGCTGTGGTACATATACACAATGGAGTACTATGCAGCTGTAAGAAAGAAAGATCTCTTATCCTTTGAGACGACATGGAGGGACCTGGAAAGTATTATCCTAAGCGAAATAAGCCAAACAGAAAGACAAGTATCATATGATCTCACTTATTTGTGGAATATAATGAACATAACAGTCTGAGGAATGGGGTAGTCCCAGAGATGTGGAAGTAGGATACAGACTGACAATCCCCAGAAGAGGGGGTGGTGGGGGAGAGATAAACCACAGAACTTATATGCATATATGCATGCACAATGGACATGGACAACAAAGCTGGGGACAGGGCGGGGAGGGAGGAGAAGGGGGGAATCAGTGGGGGAAAAAGGAGAATCATCTGTAACAAAAATGAATTAATTAATTTTTTAAAAATCATGTATTTACCTCATAGGTTACTGGGATAATAAAAAATATATGTAAAGCACTAAGAATAGTGCCTGATATATCAAGTACCCAGGAAATGTGTTTTGTTTTGTTTTGTTTTTTATCCTCACCTGAGGACATTTTTCCATTTTTTGTTCAGATAGAGTGGGAGGGAGGGAGAGAGAGAAAAACCTCAATGTGAAAGGGACACATCAAGTGGCTGCCATCCGCATGACCAGCCAGGGCCAGGGACTAACTGCAACTGAGGTACGTGCCCTTAGCGGGAACCGAACCCGGGTCTCTCTGGACCTTAGGCCGACGCTCCAACTGCTGAGCCAAACCAGCCAGGGCAAGAAATGTTATTTTTATTACTATTACTACTAAGAAATTATTCTCACTAGGTTTTCGTAAAGATTAAAATAGATTATTGTAGCCCTGGTTAGATGGCTCAGTTGGTTGGAGCATCGTCCTGTGCACCAAAAAGTTGTGGGTTTGATTCCCAGTTGGGGTACGTATGGGAGACAACTGATCAGTGTTGCTCTCTCATATCAATGATTGTCTCTTTCTCTCCCCTTTCCTCTCTCTAAACATATCCTCAGGTGAGGATTAAAAAAATAAAGAGATCATTGTAGACACATCATAAATATTAACTATCATATTAGTTAAGGTCTTACTGGCAGGTACTCTTATTAAATCAAAACAGAAATAAAAGTGGTTACCCAGTTTTTTTGAATATGCATCCAACTTGTAGGCCGCCTGTTCAAGAGCTGCTACCTGTTCCTCAATTACATTGATTTGATCCAGATAAGGCTGTAGTTCAGCATCTTAAAAAAAAAAAAAAAGGCAGACCACATGTTTATATGCTCTCAACAAGTTGAACAGAAGAGAGTGAAAAAGTAAGAATGCTAGTGTCTTTACAGCTCTGCCTAAAACACACAAGGTAGGTATGACATGATTCTAATCACTAGCAGGACAAACACTTTAGAAAATATTCGCTAGCTGATCAGACATGACTGTGACCTAGACAAAGCAAGTCTCTGTCATCCATTAACTTTGTCTCTTTTAAATTCCTTGTTCCTCAAGCAATTACTGATTCCATTTCTTGGGTACTCCCAGATCAAAAAAGAAACAGAGAACACAAATATAAGCTAATGGAAAAAAATATATTCTACCAGTCTAAATTAGCATTTTGCATTTATAGATGTTCTGGTTTTGTTTATGGAGCAGTCCTTTATGGATTTCATTGTTAAATAAGTTTAATTGATTTCATTGTTAAATCAGAATGTGGCCACCCTTTCTCTCCCCCATCCCTTTCCAGGAATAAACTGATCATCAAATCAAGATTCAGAAGCAGAAATAACCACACCACCAAAACATGCTGCTCCTCAGAATGGAAGAAATTCACCTTAACTTTGTGATTCAGTTTTAGAAAATGAGCTCCCTACTCCTTCTCCATGGCACCAAACTTAAAAGAACATTTATTATAAACATGTTTAATTATAAAAATTATTACTTACATTTCTGGTTTAAATCCTTTAAGTTTCTACTAATGTTTATAGCAATATCTTTCATTTCAAGATACTTCAAGCTGGTTAATTTATTCATATTTTCCAGGAGTTTATAGTCTTCACTGGTGGCTTTAAAATAAACAGAAGATATAACGCCTTTAATATTTGCCTTATATCATTGGAATGTGGAATTAGAGGCCAAATGGTAGTTCAAGGTAGGATCTAGGGAATGTCAAAGGAGGAAGCCACTTTTGATCTATGACATTTATATTCAGCTTGTGTAGTCTGAATGTCTAAGTAGAAACTCAGGCAACAATCAGCAAATTATTTAAACCAAATAAGATCCATAAACTTCAAATCTGGATTAGAAAGGGATATAATAATCTTATGTCCTAATTAAAGGGAAGTGAAATAGTCTTGGTATTTCTACAGTGTAAAATATGTAAATTGGGGAACTGCATCATAAATATATATATGTATATACACACACATATACATACATATATAAAATCAACTATATATATACATATATACATATATATACATATATAATATTTAAATATATAAATATATAAAATCAACTAGGACCTTACTACTTTTAGTAACTTACTTATTACTGTGATTCTATATTGTATTTTATGTACTGACTTTCCAAACCATTTGCCTGCATCTCATATCTTCAATTCTCTTCCCCATCCCTAGTCAAAGACATGGCTTTTACTCCAATTTTCCCAAAAGCCAAGTCCACTTACAAAAGCTGCCTCCACCTGTTTACCTCACTTCAAAATTTCTCTGTACCTTAATATCTTCCCAAGAGGCACAAATGCTCCTATTCCTGCCAAGACAACTCCTCCTCCTGTGTTCTTGATTCCCAATTCTCCTACTTCTTCAGGGCCTCTCTTCAATTGTCTCCTTTCTCTTTCATTTGCAAACTCTTTCCACTCTGGATCTTCCTCTCTCTCTAGAAATATATTCAGGTTTCCTCTGGCCCCAAAGCACTCATTTGTTCAGAAAGCAAAGGAGCTTCACTGCTAACTCTTTTCAAAGAGTAGCTTACACTCACTGCTTCCTCTTCCTCACCATTCACTCATATGAACCGTTGCAGTCTGGCCTCTGCCCCCACCATACTGTTATTAAAACAACAAATTAATTGCCCTGTACTGGCATTCCCTGAGATTTTAGTCAAGGCCCTCTTATCTACCTCTGAGCTCTTCTTTGTCAATCTCATCCTGTACAGCCTCAGCTCACAGCACTATGCAGGTGACTCTCAATTCTGTTTCTCCTGCTCTGATCACTCTTTGAGCTCTAGACTCATGTGTACAAATCACCTGAGTGTCTTAATAACAGTCAAACTGAGTGTCCTGGTAATATCTAAAATCAGCCAAGCCAAAACTGAAAATATTATTTTCACACTAAACATGGTTCCTCTTTCCAACTTCCCTATTTTGGTTGATGGTACCACTCAGGCTTAATAATGCAAACACAACCATTTAAGCTGCTCCCATCCCTCAATACCCACTTTAACAAGTTCTATAAATTCCACTTCTGTAACATTCTTGCACCCATACCCTCCTTTCCATTCCTTTTACCGTCATTCTGTCTCACAACCATTACTTTTCATCTGAAATTCTATTCATCTGTCCCTGTCTCTCTCCTCCATACCCATACTCTGTACTGTCAAACTAATCTCTTTAAAACAGACACTCAAATACTTAGGCACAAGCCAGATCAAGTAAGTGAGTGAAGCAAATCAGGTACTTGCATATTAAACACAAAAGATAACTCATTTCCACAAAGAATATGCTCTCTCCCACTTCTTGGATTATGTGGTCCTCTTATTCTATCATTTACTTTACCAATTTTGATAGAGATATTGGCACAGAAAACCATTTTTGCACCAGTACTAAAAACACAACAATACAAGAACAGTGGCAAGTGGCAACTGACACCAGTTCTCTGTAAAAGGGAGAAAACGGGGTGTAGGGACAAATTGCATAGTACTAGTCCATTTAAAGGAGACAGCTGCTCAGCTCTAATCAATCATAGCCTCCAGAATGAGGGACTAGCCCTGGCCGGTTTGGCTCAGCGGTTGGAGCGCCGGCCTGCGGTACAGAGAGACCCGGGTTCGGTTCCCGCTAAGGGCACGTACCTCGGTTGCAGTTTGTCCCCAGCCCTGGTTGGTCGTGCGGGTGGCAGCCACTCGATGTGTCCCTTCACATCAATGTTTCTCTCTCTTCCTCTCTCTCCCTCCCGCTCTATCTGAACAAAAAATGGAAAAATGTCCTCGGGTGAGGATAAAAAAAAAAAAAAGAATGAGGGACTAGTATTGCCAAATCATTAGAATTTTTAAAGAAAAGCCAAAAGTCTAGATTTTGATACTTGGTGTCTCTTCCTCAGATATAGATAGATGGATAATCAGACTGATAGAGACTCACAAGCCCTTCTACTGTGCATCAACCCTTTTCTCATAGATTCGGGTTCCCAAATTTAGCTCACAGAAATTTCCTGTGGAAGTAAAACAATATAATAACTGCTTATGAGAGGCCACACTGGGCCAGACTCTGGACCCTCCTTCACATATAAATCATGTGTTCACCTGGAACCACACTATGAACCAAAAACTGAACCATGTCCCAAGAGGTGAGTCACTAAATCCTCAGACCAACCTAATAGGTCCCTAAATCTGCAGGTTACTCCCCATTCCTCAATCCTTTTTCTCTTTGCCCCAGTAAATATAGCTGTTTTAGCCCAACAAATTACTTACACCACCTCACTCACTAACTAGTTATCCCCCCCACTTTTTGGCCAATCATTCCCTTCACAACCCTACTCAAAATACACCTCCCCCAAGGAAGCATTTCTTGATGAATTCTTTTTTGTTTTCTGGCGCTAGTCTTAAATATGGATACCTGTGTATTAAGTATTCTTACATGTTTCCGAAGGCAGTTCGAGAATTTCTCCAGGGAAGTAATGGACCTCTTTCCTTCCTATTCATGATGGCCCCAAACTTCCAACAGGCATGTTTCAGCGTGGCTGGGGTTAGGGAGGGGGCACCTCCCAGGTCTCCCCAAGCCAAACCGCAGCTCCAGCCAGAGCTGCGCCGCACTGTCTGTCGCATTACCCGAAACAACCCGGACCCCGCCTCACCCGTCAGTTCCCCGGTCAGGTACGTTGCCATTTTGGAGAACATGTCCCGGCAGAGCTCAGTGATGTCAGCCTCAGCGGGCTCCTTCGCTTCCTCGGCTGTCTCCACGGCGGCATCGTCTGCACCACGGGAGAATGAGTGAGTGTCCCGCCCTACACCCGGTCCTAATGCAGCCGCAGCGTCTGCTCCCCACATCCCTGCACCTGTCCTCATTCCAGCAAGTCCGCTCCATTCTCCGCGCGCCCTGATGTCCAGCCCCGCACTTCATCCTTGCCGCACCTGACAGCTCCACTCTGCTCCCTTGCACCGGCTTCAGCTCTCGGGGTTCCGCGGCCAAACCCTCTCACTCGCCTTGACAGAAGCCAGATCTCACGCTCGCACACACGGGGACGCTCCTCCGACCCGCCCGCTCCTGCCAGCTGAGCCCCGGCATCCGGGCCCCATCCCGTGGCTCCAGGCCTCTCCCTGGACACTCCATCCCCGCCCCCTGGCATACCTCTAGCCGGCTCCTCTCGCAGGCTCGCAGGGACACTTTCTGCCGCGGCCGCCATGCTCGGCCCCGCGCTGCTTCCGGCTCTAGGACTCCTGCGCACGCGCACCGTGAGCGCCCCCGCCCCCGCCTCCTACCAGCAGCCTTGGGTTTCCGACGCTGTCTCTGCCAAGTCATGCCGCCCAATAGTGAGTAATAAAATGTAAGCAAGAAGCCGAAATTGAAGCTGAGAATGGTTAGCATGAGTCGATCCACTGCCAAGAGTTGCGACGTCTAGAACTGAGGACACGCTCATCCCTGCGGCCACTCCCTAGAGGGCCTCACTAGTCTAGTAAGACTCACGACCTGTCAGGGTTTGACCTAAGGCACCGGAGACAGGTTACCCCCTCCCCAGACACTCCGCACGCAGGCTGGTATTAGACTCCAAAGAACGCTAGGGAATCCATGCTTTTGAAAGTAGACTCATCCAGGCTTAGGGAAACCTTCAGGCCTTGGTCCCTGAGCGGAAACTCTCTCCCTTTCAAAGTCCTGGATTAACATCGACTCTTTGGCCCCTTTTTCTTAAACTGTAGGCTGGCATCCACTTCAGCTTTTCTATAAGGAAGGTTAGATCGTAACTCTTTTAGGGCTGAGGATATACTGTGGTATTTTAACTGCATTTAGCTATTTCACAAGGCTCCTAGGAGTATAGCGTGTACTTGAAGGGATGGGAGAACAGGGGTGGGTGAAGGAAATGGATGAGAAAAAGCGCCTGGGGAGCAATGGAAGGTGCAAAATGATGAAGAGATAAATATTACAGGGGAAGGGAGAGGGGATATATAGCAGGTCTTGGGATGCGGACCTGTACACCCAAAATCTTGGTGTAGAAGTTTTCTGTCTTATCCCTGGTTATTCTCCATCTGCGCGCACTCACCCTCCCACACACACCAGCTACCTCCCCTTCACCCCACCCCAGAGTAAGGAAGCTGCCTTACTCTCTTCATCCTGAGGACTAGGTCACTGTCTCCAGTCTCTAATGGTACAATCATAGTGCCCACCAGTTCAAACCATTCCTATGAGCCAGAAGTTCTTATTTCAGGACTCCTGGAACAGCCCAACTCCTTCATATTGTCACTTCCTCCACTCCAGACCTCCCAGCAGGAATGAGCTTTCCCCAGCCCAAGTACAAGCATGGCTCACAGTTTCAACCCTCTTCTTCACCTTATAATCCCAGAAACAAATGCAAAGTCCTGATTTTCCTAAGGATTTTTATTGATAGTCACCAGGGAAACCCACACTGTCCTATGGAAGAATAGAGTCAGAGTCCAACACATCTTCATCCAAAGATCTCTGAATCCTGAGGTCATTTCTTTGCCTGATTCTCTTCAGGCTCCATCTTCATTCTGGTTTACAGCCCCATCAGTTCTCAGTGTTCTGCAGAATGTTGGGAGCAGATTCTTTCCTCAGCGTTCATGGGCTATCTCCTCAAGTTGGGGAGGTCATCACTCAACTCCTCTGCAACACTGTAATCTCCTGATGTAAGAAAGTCTCCTCTCCTATATGACTTCCATCTACAGGGGAACTCTATGGGGAAGACAAGAACCCAATAGGTTCTAACAGCAGATCTCCAGATGCCCAAAGGACAAGATCACTGGCAAGTAAGACATCTAGGTAATTGCTACTCTTGGCTATCCAGATGCTTGGTGAAGTCATTACCCTCTCTTCCCTTATTCTGTTTGCTACTGACCTTTTGGTTTGTTTGTTTGTTTGTTTGTTTGTTTAATCACTACAACAGAGATTGGAAGCACAGGGAGTGAGAGGCCCAGTGGGAGATATTATTTCAAAGAGCTACACAGAGCTACATAGCTATACACAGAAACACTGAGTCACAAGCCTAAGCATGATAGCCACAAAAACATGGGCTCGAACGGCCAAACACAGGATAGGACTTGGCAGCAGCACTACTGTTACCCTAGAAGTATAGGGCATGTGTAGAGGGGGCCTCTGGGAAGGCAGAGAGAGAGGAGCCTGCTGTCTGATGCTTTAGGATCCCTCCTCACCACTGTGCTGCCCACTCTAAACTCCCCAGGGGGCTGGAGTCACAGCTGGGGCTGGCTGCAGGTGCTCCCAATTGCCTGTTCCCCTGTTAGAAGAAAAGGGGACAGACAGGTCATTAGAAAGAGGACTTTGTATACCACTTTTCTTTTATCTGGATCTGATTCTCCAATCCCAGACCATCTCCTAGAGGTCAAGGCAGTCCCAGGCCAGTGCAACCACCTTTAGGCCTTCCCACTACCTCCCACCTCCCCTTATACACCGACTACTATGAAGGACATGTTGCCCTAATAGCCTGAAAACAGATCTCTCATGTTTTGCTTTCACCCACTGAGTGGAGTAGGGGTACAGTTCATCTGTGGGGAGCCAAGAGAACACAGGTGAAGGGCCACTCACTATGCCTGGGGAGGGATCCAGCTGCCCCTTCCTCTCCAGCAGATTTAGCTTTGAGCCCACAGCATCAACCTGGGCCATGACTGCTTCCAGGATAGTCTCTAGCTGCAGAACTCTCCTTGTGAGCCTGTGCAGGATTTGAGAGAGACTGAGGAAGCAGAAATACATGTATAGGGGACCAAGTGTCTACAGGGTAGGGGGACAGAATGGTGTATATCTGGATGGGAACAAAGAAGGTAAGAAGGTTTAAAAGGGGGCAGAGGTTCTTCTTGGACTAGGACAGGGGATTAGAAGGTTGTGAAAAGAAACTCAAGGTAGGATATTTAAACGCAGGGTTTCTGGCTGCACGTACATGTAGAATTCTTCTCCTGCGACCCAGTCACCTGCTCCAGTAGCCTCTGGACCAAACTTGCCTGGTGGACTCCTCACAATGGACTGGCCCAAGTTCTCAATTTCAGCACTGAGGGCCACCTGATTAGGAAGTCAGAGGTCAGAGAGGGGAAGATGACTCTGAGAAGCCATCAGCTCAGGTTCTAATGGGCTCTCAGGAACAGGCCTTGGGCTCTAGTTCTTGCTATGCCCCTTCCCTCTCAAACTCTGGAGACAGTGGGATCAGAGAAGTGGTGCCGGACACAAAGCTGGCCCAACCTCTGGGAGGGATCACTACCCAAAGAAACAAAACACAATCTCCTTGAGGCCTTGATTAACAAGGTATTCACTAGAGGCCAACTCAGTTTGGGAGAGGAGGGACAGTACCAGAATTCTTCGCACTGTCCCTCCTGCCCTTGACTTTTTGGTCTGCACTAGATGGGGATGAAGCAGGCATAGTAAGGACAACAAAGGATAAGATCTTGAAAATCTCAAAAAGAAGGAATTGTCAAGGATTCTTGAGCAGTTGGTCATTTTCCCCTAAAGACTGTTTTAGAGCAATGGTTCTCAACCTTGGCTATGCATTGGAATCATCTGGGGAGTTTTTAAAAGTACTGATTTCTGGGATTCCCAATACCCCCCTCCCCAAAGAAATTCTGGTGTAATGTATAGCCTGAGAATGAGGATTTTAAAAAAATCTTCACCCAATGATATGTTTTTTATTGATTTAAGAGAGAGAGGAAGGGGAAGAGAGAGAGAAACATTGATCAGCTGCCTCCTGCATGCACCCTGACCAGGGATCAAACCTCAACCCAGATATGTGCCCTGACAGAAATCAAACCCGCAACTATTTTGATGCATGGGACAATACTCTAACCAACCTGGCCAGGCCTGAGTATGAAGATTGTTTAAAGCTCTCAAGTATTCTAATGTGTAGCGATTTGAGAACCACTATTATAGAGAGCTCTTTCCTGCCCATCAATGGAAGGGTTTTCAGTTTGCTTTTGTGTTCTGGGCATGTTGACAAGGAGGGGAGGGTGAGCAGTTTCCTTATACTACCTCTCCATCAACCAGCTGGGCTCACCCTCTCCTTCTCCAGGTTCTGTTGCATTTGTTCCTGCTCCTTCTCATCCAGGACACAATTCCCATCTTGGTCAAACCTGGTGAAGGCAGCTGTGAGCTCAGTGAGCTCATGCTCTGCATGCCCCAGTCTGAGGAGAACAGGATGATGAATTAATTTCTGACATGCCATGGCTGTGATCTCTTGATTATGGACTCCCTACTCTTTTAGCCAGACTCTGGCAAGAGTCTCATTCGCTAGGGAAGAAAGAGACCACAGGAAAACCAGGATCTCCAAGGTCTAGCAATTTACCCCCAAGAAAGCACTTGAATCTATTTCTTTCATCCCTATCTCCTGCTAACTAGGCTCAGGCCCCTTGTGATCTCCTACAGGGATTAGTGCAATCTCTTTGTCTCTAAATAACCTGCCCCCCATTCCCTTAGCTTCCCCTTTACTCCCTACCTGAAATCCATTCTCTATAATGCAACTAGAGCAGTTAATCTTTCTAAAGTGCAGCTCTAAATATAACCCTTGCTTGCTTAAACTGCCTACTGGGCACTCTATTCTTTGGACAGAGTAGCTGTGTTTGAGGCTTTTTCCAATGTGGCCCATACCTCATCTCCTGCTATGTCCCACCTTTCACTGGATACTTAACAATGATCAACTAATTACTCAGTGTCTGGCCTACAGCTGGTGCTTACAATATATTTCTTCAGTGTTTGTTAATGTGTTTAACTCAGAAGCTAGGAGAGAATGGCTAAGGGAATAGACCAGTGTTTGCGGGGGAGCATAGAACCAAAATCAGAGTTTTGTGAGAGTGAGGGATGTATACAATGATTAGGGAATTATATTATGTTAGTTCGAAGAGTTGGTTCAACAAGGTCCAGAACATTATAGAACATGGTCAGAGACCTTTAAACAAGGGCATGTTTCTGAAAGACAGGATCAGAGACATATAGGCTGGGGGTCAGAGGTCTATTAGCCAAAGTCAGAGGTCTATAGGCCAAGATCAGAGGCTTATGGGCTAAGGATATATGGCTGAGGGTCAAGGACTTATAGACCAATCTCAGAGAAAGTTGGATCTCTGATTGCTTACTCCCTCAAGGTGTTAGTGAAATCCTCAAACTGGATTTCCTGCTCCCCGCCCTGCAGGACCTTCTGCACATCCGAAACCTGTTCCTTCCTGAGATGCAGCCTCAGAAGGGTCTTGTTGTAGCCCTGGAAGAGGAAAGGAAACAGGCACCAGTTCCCACAGCTTCCTCATCATTCCTTGCCTCCACCCCAACCCAAAGGATGCCAGGCTCCCATGGTTAAATTTAAAGTACATAAGGGGGACTTCCGGTCAAGATGGCGGCGTAGGGAAACGCAGTATCGCGTTCTGCCACAACCACATCCAAGTTACAACAAAACTACAGAACAACCATCATCCAAAATCGCCTGAAATCAAGCTGAATGAAAGTCCTACAACTACGTAATTAAAAAAAAAAAAAAAGCAGCTACATCCAGACCGGTAGGAGGGGCGGCGGCGCGAGGGGTGGCGGCAGCGGCGGCGGACGGGCTGGTCCCACACCCAAGTGTGGCGGATAAAAATCAGGAGGCTCCCGTGGCTGGGAAGGTCCTTCCTGAGGACTGAGGGGTCCCCATCCCACACCAGGTGCCCCGCTCAGGTTTCCAGTGCCAGGAAGAGAATCCCCATAACTTCTGGCTGGAAAAACCAGCAGAAACTGAGGCTCAGGGAAGCTGACCTGGCTGGAGCCACAGGCAGCTCCCTAAAGGGCCCACGCACGGACTTATCGGACTCTCTCCCTCTAAGCTCGGAGGGGAGGCAGCTCGAGGGGCACCAGAGACATACAGAAAAGAACTGAGCTGTTTGGCACTGGAGCGAGGGCTGGAGAGGGAGCTTTCTCGGGGACAAACGTGCTGTCAGAGGCCTTTGTTCCTTTGGTGAGCCCTTCCCTGGAGCAGCAGACAGAAGCCATATCTGGGACTCCAGCAACCTGGCTCACACTGGTAGCCCCACCCTGCAGACTCCCTGAGGCCCCGCCCCACCCCGCCCCACACAACTTTCAAGCCCACCTAAGCTGTTGCTACTTGCTTAACCATAGGATTGGCCTGTCTTGGATCCCGCTTCAGGTTTTTCCTAAATTCTTTCAAACAAGCAGCATCGGGTCTCAGCGAGCCCCATACCTCTCATTAAGTAATACACAGAAACAAACACAGAGAGGCAGCCAAAATGAGGATACAAAGAAACAGGTCCCAAATGAAAGAACAGAACAAAACCCCAAGAAAAGAACTAAGTGAAATGGAGATAAGCACCCTAACAGATGCTGAGTTCAAAATACTGCTTATAAGGATGCTCAATGAACTCAGTGAGGGCCTCAAGAGCATAAAAAAGTACCAGTCAGAAACGATCGCTGCACAGTTAGAAACGAAGGAGGCTTTAACTGAAATAAAGAATAATTTACATAGCTTCAATAATAGAGTACGTAAATCCAAGGAGCAAACCATCGATTTGGAATATAAGGAAGCAAAAAACGCCCAACCAGAACAGCAAAAAGAAAAAAGAATCCAAAAAAATGAGGATAGTGTAAGGAGCCTCTGGGACAACTTCAAGCGTGCCAACATTCGCATCTTGGGGGTGCCGGAAGGAGAAGAGAGAGAACAAGAAATCGAAAACCTGTTTGAAACAATAATGGCAGAAAACTTTCCTAACTTGGTGAAGGAAACAGACATACAAGTCCAGGAAGCACAGAGAGTCCCAAACAAGATGAACCCCAAGAGGCCTACACCAAGACACATCATCATCAAAATGCAAAAGGTTCAAGACAAAGAGAGAATCCTAAAAGCAGCAAGAGAAAGGCAGCTAGTTACCTACAAGGGAGTTCCCATTAGGCTGTCAGCTGATTTCTCAAAAGAAACTTTGCAGGCCAGAAGGGAGTGGCAAGAAATATTCAGAGTGATGAAAACCAAGAACCTACAACCAAAATTACTCTATCCTGCAAAGCTGTCATTTAGAATCGATGGACATATAAAAACTTTCCCAGACAAGAAAAAGTTAAAGGAGTTCATCACTACCAAACCGTTATTATATGAAATGATGAAGGGTCTTTTTAAAGAAAAAGATAAAATGTATGAACAAACAAAATGGCAATGAATACATATCTATCAACAATGGAATCTACAAACAAAATGAACAGGAAGAACAGGAACATTCTCATAGATACAGAGAACATTTTGTTGGTTGCCAGTTGGGAAAGGGGTTGGGGGAATGGATGAAAAAGGTGAAGGGAGTAAGAAGCACAAATTCATTCCTAGACTGACAAACCTCAAAGGGAAAGGGGTTGGGGGGGTGGGAAGAAATAAACCAAAGAACTTATATGCATAACCAATGGACACGGACAATAGTTTGGGAAAAGGTGGGAGGGGGGCGGGAGTGGGGAGGAGGGGGTCAATGGGGGAAAAATGTGGAACATCTGTAATGCATTTTACATCCAACAATAAAGATGTGGAAAAAAAAGAAAAAAAAAAAAAAAAGAAATTATTCATGGAGTACTGGTATGCAGTAAAATTTTATATTGACTTATATAAATCAATACAATAAAATATATTGACACTTATACTGTCAATAAAGTGATTCTAAAGAAAAAAAATAAATAAATAAATAAATAAAGTACATAAGGGCATAGGCCCCTACAGTAGTCAGAAATAGACCAGAACACATTGGACCTAGGCCCTGATATAGATATGCAACTGAAGAAGATTGAGTAGTTACCTGTTTCAGGAGGTCAGAAATTTGTAGCTCATCCTTCTGTCCAGCCAACTCCTCCTTGACCTCTGAATATGTGTCATTGATGATAGCAAGGAACATGTTCTGGAGGATAAAGCAGGGCCATAGGTCCTCACTCCTAGACCCACTAACAGCATTGAGCCCACTGACTCTATTACTATTCTAGACACATGTTCTAAAGGGGCCAGTGCTTTCAACCCCAGCTCCATAGCCCACTAACCCCCACATCTCAGGGTCCCCAGAGCACAGCCTTTCAGCACAGTCCCATTAGTGATGGATTATGCTCCCTCATCAACCTGGTGTCCTCACTCAATTGCTGCAGTAATCTGACCAGAAAGATAACCCAAAATGTGCCACAGACCCCCTCTGTGTAAGGGACCACCAAGCACTGAAGCCAGAAACTTTTCAAGGTGTTAATATAATTGTGCTCTCTTTATCATCTGCCTGTAATCCATATCTGTATCCCCATCCATTGATCAAATAAAGAAACTTCCTTCTTTGTTAATAATAATCAAACCTAGACCTTTCATGGTTGTTGAGAAGAGAGAACAAATACAAAGCAGTGGTGATAAAAATAGTCAGCAATCCCCAGAGGAAGGGTAGTTTTGGGGAATAGGTGTAGGAGCTTTTATAGGTGAAACCTCTTCTAGTGAGGCATTTTTCTCTCTCTTTCCATCCTTGGAGGGTAGGGGCTTGATGTTAGTAGGGGAACCTGCACATTCCCTTACACGGTGTAAACTGTCTGACTGTGCTGACCGCACTGACCAGCGTTAGCCAGCTCTCAGAAGATCCACTCTACCACACACTGCCCATCCTTCATTTGAGAAACCTATTGTAATCCTGAATGCAGAACAGGGAGGGGGTGTCAAAACCCCACCCTGAAAGTCCTCTACATCTCCCCAGTCAGGTTCCAAATCCCCACTTCTCAGAAGGACCCTCACCAGAAGCACGAAGAAGACGAAAAAGACGTAGGTGACAAAGTAGGCAGGTCCCAGGATGCGGTTGGCATTGTTGATGGCATTGTAGTCAAAGTCCCCAAGGATGATCCGGAACTGAGTGAAGCTGAGAGACCAGGGTCTGGGTTTTAACTCAGAGTCTAACCATAACCCTGACCTCTCCCATCCCCCCACCCCCCGTCTACTTTCCTAACTGCACTTTGGTGGATTCAGACAGACCCCTCACTGCACCTCCAACTCAATCTGATTGAGACAGAGCAAGGTACACAGATAGTTGAGCACATTAATCAGGGCCTCCAGAGACTCTCACAGATATGCTCTAAGTACAGATATGCTCACAGCTTCCCCAAGGATACATACACCCATGGAGCTGGAGGGAGAGGGGCCAAGGAGGAGTGAAGGGGGAAGACACACACATGCACTTGATAAAAGTGCTAAAGTTTTCCACTTGGGTCCCAAAAAGCAGGTAGCCGAGCTGGGCGTAGGTGAAAAAAACGATGAAAAACATCACAGCGAAGCCCAGGATGTCCTTGGCACAGCGGGCCAGCGTGGAGGAGAGCTGGGTCATGGTTTTGTTGAAGCTGATGTACTTGAATATCTGGAAGGACCATGTTGAACCAAGCAATTAAGAAAGAAAAGAGAAAATCTTTAAACAGTTCACTCCTGGAGACTTTGGAGGCCTCAGGAGTTGTCAAACCAGCAAAGGAAAATAAGACAAATTGCCCTGGCCGGTTTGGCTCAGCAGTTGGAGCGTCGGCCTGCGGACCAGAGGGTCCTGGGTTCGGTTCCCGCTAGGGGCATGTACAAAAAAAAAGAAAGAAAATAAGAGGAAAGGAGAATAAGTGCCCCAAGGTGAAGCTGGGAGTGAGGAGTCCCAGGGTACCTTGATCCAGGCAAAGAAGAGGTTGACAGCATTCATGTTGTTGTACTGTGTCTGCCAGAAGGCGAGGAACTCGAAGTCAGCGTATGTGTCTGGTTGCTGCAGGAGCTTCCCCATCAGCTGATTCACCTCAAGAGTTCGGAATATATGGAAGCCCACAGCTACAATGGAGAGCTGTCATCACAGGGGTTAGGGGTCAGAGAAGTCAAGGAGATCTCAGGAAATTCAATGATGAAGTCACAGGGGTAGGTAAAACAGATGGGAAACAAAATAAATCCTTCACTGCTGAGTTGTTGACTATCCTAAATTCAAATGAAACTGGAGAGGATGACTGCGGAATGTCTTAAAGCCCAAGAGAAGGTTCTGGGGCCATTGGTAAATATCTAGGTTGTAAAGGACCATAGAGAACTAGAGCCAAATAATTTTATTTCCCCTGCCACTTCCCAGCTGTGGTCAGGAAATTAATATGTCCTGTTAATAGGAAGGAGACAAAGATGAAGAGGCAGGGCATTTTAATACAAGAGAGAAGGCAGGAGTTTCAAGAGGATAGATCATAAAGGCAAAAGACAGAAGAGGAACAGACTATCAAGTACATAAAGAAAGGAGCAGGGCCTAGATCAAAGACTGGAGGGAGAAGGGATATGGAAGACAAGGCTTTCCCAGGGCTCTGCCAGGGGAATATCAACCTCTTGTTTAGAGAGCTATTACCCAGGGATTTGACCAGAAGTCAAAGGAGGACTTGGGACTCCAAAAGGAGTAACTCAGAGCCCCTATCAGGGTAGATCCCCCATCTCCTCCCAATATGTCCCAAGTCTAAGATATCTGTTCCTCACCAAGATGATCACCAGGTCCAGAATGTTCCAGATGTTGCTAAGATAGTGAAGTCGGTGGACATGAAGCTCCAGGATCTCCTCCACCACGTAGTAGAAGATGAAGATGCAGAAGATGATCTCACAGCCAATGATAAAGAAGTCCCAGTTGCTGACATAGCGGATCAGCTTAACTATGCGGATTTGCCAGGATGGGATGGCACCTCCTGTAGCTGGAAATTCCACCACCAGTCTGTGGGAGAAGGGGGAAATGTCTGGTAGGACAGTTCTTCCTAGGGTACATGTTTAGGGAAGTATCTCAAGCAGAGGAGATAGGAACCAGGAACCATGGATCGAGGGATGCAGTAGGAAAAGGGGACCCACCTCAGAACACAGAAAAGATTGATGTTGGCATTATAGACTGAGAAGTCAATGAAGACCACCCGAGTGGCCCTGTCTAGCCACAGGCCTTCCTGAAGGTCCCGGAGGGCCTCTGCACTGCCCTGTCGGGATACTGGAAGGTCCAGGTAGTAGCCACCTCCACTGTAGCTTGTGAGCTGGCCCCAGTGAGAGGAGCCTCCCAGCTCATCCTGTGAATGGTATGTCCACCTGCCAAGGAAGAAGCCATCTGAGCAGATGTCTGAGCCAATCTAAAGCTGATTTCCTGAGGCAATGGCAATACTTTATGATTATCTCAGCTTTACAGTTTTATACATATTATATATACATATCACATATATGTATATTTCATATATATTATCTTGTTTGATGTTAACAGCTGTTTGAGAACTGAGAGTAAACATTATTCACATTTTACAAACAAGGAAATCAAGACTCAGATGTCTGAGATTATCCAGTGAGTTAGTGACAAACTGAAACTCAAATGTAAATCTCCTAATTTTTCATATTACCCAAGGCCATCGATGAACAAACCCAAGTCCTGTTCTTGACTCCAGAATGAGTAGTCCCCATAGGGGAAGCACCTGGCCCATATAATCCAAAAAAGACTCTTTCTGCTCTTGTGATTGTGCACCTGGCTGGGTAACCTCATGAATGTTCTGATCGCAAACTTTCCACCCTGGACCCTTATTTCTTCCCCCTTCTTTCCTGTTCTTGCCTTCCTTTCCCCCTTTCTTCCCTAATTCATCATCTATACTTGATCCCTTGCTGCTCTCCCTATCAGTTCTGACTTCCAACCATGGCTCATATGGCAGTATCAATGCTTCATCAATTCTCCATGCCCCCATGGGACTTCTGGACAAGAAAAGCTTTCTCTGGCAGGACTGCCTCTAGAGTAGGACAAATGTGTCTGTGACCCATGTGGAAACAAGTCCCTAGGCTATGGCTCTGTTTGCTAACATACTTTCTCTGTTCCTGAATGACTCAGATTAAGGTCTCCAAACAGTTATGGTTGGGACTCAGAAAGATGCCCCCATCTCATTTCCCCTGAGTACCCCAAGGCTCTACCCTCTACTTCTCCCTAAGGCTTTGTGGAAGTGGTTTCCAAACCTTGGGATGGTGTCAGTTTGAGAGGGGCAAGCTCTAGAACACTGGTAGGGGAACTCACTCACGCTGTGCCATTGAGGGTCCCAAAGGGAAGCTGCTCTTCCTTGTCTGGAGAATAGACGGCGTAGCAGCTCAAAATGTCCTGGCGGAAGTCCTCATGCACCACACAGGAGTCATTTCGGACCCTCAGCTGCCGCAGCCTTGGAGCCCCCAGCAGCAGGTTCTCATAGTAGATGAAGGAATGGGAGCCGTGGCCCAGGCTCTGGTTGTTGTACCATTTGGTCCAATATAAACCATCCAGTAGTGGGCCCTGGGCGAACTAGACCACAAGCAGGGTTTGACCTTTACTCTTAGAATAACCGTTGCCTTCATTCCCTGACCCCCCGGCTTGTCTCTAGTTGCTTCTGTTGGACTCCTCAGCTGACCCATGAACTTTGATCAAATCTTGACCTAATGTGGCCTTCATCTTCACTTAAAATGTATTAAGTTCAGCCTTACCTCTGACTTCTAATACTAGTCTAATTACTGGCTTGACCCCCTGATCATCATCCTGATCTCTCACCTACCTCCACCTTAACTCTAATCTAACCCATTAATTCTTTCATGACCCTTTGACTCAACCTGATCCTGGAATGACCTTGTCTCTGGATATGGCCTCATCTACTGTCTGACAGCCCTGAACCCTGGCCTGTATGTGGCCTCATCCTTCAGGCCATTGAGAAGGAGAGGGGAGGAGTAGAATTGATATCATACTCACATCCCAGAAGTCTGCCATGCTGCTGATGGCCTGGAAGGAGATGCTGGTGTCTGATGGAGTATGTAAGAAGAGCTCAGACATCACTTTGGTGTAGTAATAGGCACTGGAGCTTGTCATTCCGTAGGTCACTAGAAACCAAACCAAGAGGCATCCTGCTCACTGTTCTCATCTCCAGTCTCCAGAAAACACACACACACACACACACACACACACACACACACACACACACACACCAAATCAGGAAATCTCATTGCCCTGGGGCCAGTAATGCTACCTAGATAGAAGCCCATCAGACCCACCCCTTAGGGTTGATTGGGGAGGCTGATGATGGCATTGGGTAAACCAGGGACTGCATTAAGGAAAAGTTGTGGCTACAAGGTCTCCTCCTTTCCTCCCAACTCACCTTAGAAAGACTGAACTCCACTCAGTAATTGTCTCTTGACACTGTCATTCTGAAAATTCACTTTTCTCTTCCTGAACCAGCTTAACTTCCTAGTTCTTACTCCCTGGAGCCAAGAAATTTTCACCTTCTGCATCAGGTAATGCTTCTTTTCATTTGTTTTATATTTATGCCCTTTGGAAAATACCTCCACATTCTAGAGTACTTCAAGGCCCTGGTCAAATACCTTACAGTGGAGATATGGTCTCCTGGACCCTGGAGTCACTGAGTCTGCAGCCATGGGAGTCAGAAGTAAGCATGGTACCCCTGTCCACAGTGCATCCTGATGGGCCCAGTTGTCTCCTGAGAGAGGAGCTCAGAGCATCCCCAGATCAAAAAAGACCTGGCCTTTGCCCCAAAAAAGCTGGATCTCCCTCAAACACCCTAAGACAGACACCCAATCTAAAGTAAGGCTATCAAGGGATGATATAAGTTTTTTGGTTAAAAGGCAGAATTTGAAGAGTACAAGCCATTTATTTATTATTATTATTTTATTTTTATTTTTATTATTGGTACATGCCCCTAGCGGGAACTGAACCCAGGACTCTAGTCCATAGGCCGATGCTCCAACCACTGAGCCAAACCGGCCAGTACACAAACCATTTATTTTATAGATTGTCCCTCAATTTAGATTTGTCTGATGTTTCCTTGTGTTTAAATTCAGACTATGGCCCTGGCCGGTTTGGCTCAGCAGTTGCAGCATTGGCCCTTGGACCAATGAGTCACGGATTTGATTCTGGTCAAGGGCACATACCTCGGTTGCAGTTTGTCCCCGGCCCTGGTTGGGTTTTGCGGGAGGCAACCAGTCGATGTGTCTCTCTCACATTGATGTTTCTCTTTCCCTCTCTTCCTCTCTCTCCCTCACACTCTATCTGAACAAAATGAAAAAATATCCTCTGGTGAGGATTTAAGAAAATAAATAAATGAATGAATAAATGAATAAATAAATAAATAAATAAATAAATAAATAAATAAATAAATTCAGACTATGCATTTTGGTGAGGGATACCAAAGGCACATATTATCTATTATTAACTTCGATTCCTGCTAAGGCAGTGTCTTCCAGCTTTCTTCAATGTAAAATTATTATTTTTCTCTTTGTAATTAATACATACTTTGTGGGGAAATATTTTGAAACTATGTAAACATCCTATTACTCATCAATCTTCAACCTACTAGTTTTAGCATCCATTGATGACTTTTGCCTGATGATAATTATTATGGGTGTCAAATTGTGATTTGCTCCTTCCATCATCCATTCTACATTTATTAGTTGGCACTCTCTTCAGGAAGAACTTTCCCTTCTTCTTCATTTAATATATGCACTCCTATATAGACTCATGGATTCTTTTTTTCTGTAGTTTATAATTTGCTAATATTATGATTTATTTTGTTACTAAATATTTTAGCTAGATCATGAAAGAGAAAGAAAGACTAAATAATTATAGATTAAAAGAGACTAGAGAAACATAACAACTAAATGCAATATGTGCATTTATTTAGTTAAGATTTTATCCTAGACCATAATTTTTTCTTCTGCTATAAAAGCTATTAGTGGAATAATTGGTAAACTTATAATAAGATCTGTTCATTAGATGATAGTATTAAATCAATGATAATTTTCTGACTTTGATAAAAGAATGTCCTTGTTTTCAGAAAATACACATTAAAGGATAGGCATAATGAGGCATTTTGTCCTCAATTTACTCTCAAACAGTCGTATGTGTATGTAGATAGAGACAGAGAGATAGAATGATAAAGGAAAAAACAAGCTTGGTAAAATGCTCATATTTGGGAAATCTGAGTGAAGGTATATAAGAATTCTTTATATTACTCTTGCAACTTTTCTGCAAGTCTGTAATTACATTTTAAAAAAATGTAAGTAGGGTTTGCTGGCCTCTAATAAGCAATTCCCTTTAAGAATTTTCCTTTTCAAATCTTGGGCTCTATTTTCTCCTACCACCCGATCTGGAAAGGGAATGACTTGGGGTGGACTGGACTTGCCTATAATCTTGGAGGGAAAGGGGGCCAATATGGCCTCAGATTAGACACAAGTAACATCATATTTTTCCAAGGGGGAAATCAGCAAAGAAGGAAGCTTGTTAACTTCACATTTCCCCATTCCATTCAATGAAGTCTAAGAAACGACTTTACTTCCCTTTAACTCAGATCTGTGATTATCTGTCCTAAATATCTGGAAGATTCAGACTCAACTTTTCTGTATCTGGAAATGGGCTGGAAAACAAATTTCTCTCCGCTGAGAACCCATTCTATTGCACAGTTAGAGCTGATGGTCAGTGAGCGGAACTTTTCCTAATGACATAGGTTGATTAAACTGTTGCACCTCCTGGATGGCCACTAGATGGTACTCATTGCCATATCTTTTTCTCTGATTCTCCAAGTCTGTTACTGCTCAGCATTAATATTGCTCTGAACTGGCTGTCAACCCTTTATGGAGGCATAACATTTCTGATGAATATCCAAGACAGTAAAGACTATGTATTCTGAGAAAAATGGTTTCACCTAGTCAAATGACCACTGAAACCCAGAACACCTATTACATGCTTGACATACCTATTTTATTTAATCCTATAACAACCCTATGTATTAGATGCTATTATTATTATTCCCATTTTCCAGTCTCAGAGAACTAAACTTCCTGACCACTAGTGCTTTTAATTATGAAACAGACCACTCACAAACATTCATTTCACCTCTGAGAGTGTCAGCCGAAGACTGAGAATCACAAAGGAGGGGGCTCCTGCAATGGGCGGTGGCTGGCCTTTCTGGTTCCTTCCTTTCAGTGAAGGAATGGAATTGCTCCGTGTGTTTCAAAATGTGATACTAGACCGGAGAATGAGTGCGAGCTAGAAGGAGTTAACATTTGAATAAGTATATCAGATGTCAGTATATTACTACCTTTTTTATATATTGAGGGCTTCATTCCAGGAAATTTTCAGACACTGGACAGTAACTGCATGAAGATATTATGTATGAAGGGATTCAGAGATCAGGTGATAGTTTCACCATCCAATACAGAGTATTTGATGTGTTTTTCTTCTCTTGAACAGAAATTAAGTTCTCCTAGACACACCATACCCGCCTTTTAATCTTAGCCTCAGATCATATTCACAGTTACTGAATAATAACAGTAACCACCACTTAATGATATTTGCATTTTATGCAGATAACCAAGATCCAGAATGTTATTAAATAATTTGTCCAAAGATATCTCTCTCTCTCCCTCCCTCCCTCCCTCTCTCTAAAATCAATGAAAAGCATATCCTTGAGTGCAGAAAAAGAAAAAAAATCAACCCAAATGGTCAGGATTATGCAAGTTCTAAGGTGTTCTATAAGAAAACTCAATTTAAAGAGTTATCTTTAAAAGTACTTGGTAAACTCCAAAGATTTTGGTAAACTTGATAAACTCAAAAGATTGTCATCTTTTTTTTTTTTTTTTATCCTCACTTGAGGACATTTTTCCCTTTTTTGTTCAGATAGAATAGGAGGGAGAGAGAAGAAGAGAGAGAGGGAGAGAAACATCGACGTGAAAGGGACACATCGAGTGGTTGCCACCCGACCAAGGCCGGGGACAAATCGCAACTGAGGCATGTGCCCTTAGCGGGAACCAAACCTGGGTCTCTCTGGACTGCAGGCTGATGCTCCAACCACTGTGCCAAACTGGCCAGGGCAAAAGATTACCATCTTAACAGAAGTTTTAATTTGTTCATTCTGGTGTAAATGGATAATTGTATAGAAATCGGTATCAAGAATCATATTGAGACAGATGAGTCCCAAAGAAGGAAAAAAATCACATGTACAAAAATGTTACCTGAATTATTTTATAATATCAAAATTGCAAACAACAACCTAAATGCCTTACAGAGAGGCAATGATTAAGCAAATTATGATCTCATTAAGCCACTTAATGGAATATAATACAGCTATTGAAATGGTAATAAAAACAGGATGCAGCCCTGGCCGGTTTGGCTCAGCGGTTAGAGCGTCCGCCTGCGGTCCGGAGAGACCCGGGTTCGGTTCCCGCTAAGGGCATGTACCTCGGTTGCAGTTTGTCCCCGGCCCTGGTTGGTCATGCGGGTGGCGACCACTCGATGTGTCCCTTTCACATCGATGTTTCCCTCTCTCTCTCTTCCTCTCTCTCCCTCCCACTCTGTCTGTACAAAAAATGGAAAAATGTCCTCGGATGAGGATTAAAAAAACAAAAAACAAAAAAAAACAGGATGCAAAATTGTTTCAACACTATCATTACAAATATATATATATATATATTCATTTAATTTTATTGATTTTTAGAGAGAGAGACATAGATGAAAGAGAAACATCCTTTAGTTGTTCTGCAAGTGCCCTGACCCAGGATCAAACTCACAACCTGGATATGTGCCCTGACTGGGAATTGAACCCACCACCTTTTGGTGTAGAGGATGATGCTCCAACTAACTGAGGCACACCAGCCAGGGCACAATTAAATATTTTTTTAAATACTAAGAATGTAAAAACTTGAAGGACAAATGAACTTTTTAATGAATGAGTAGTATAATATTTAGATTTTATTTCTCTTCATTCCCATGGAGTGCAGTTAATTCTATAATAATTACATTAAAAACAATAAAATCATTAAAAAATCTTTCTACCTATTTGTTTCCAAGTTAGAGGCTGAAATATCCAGGT